TATTAGTAGTATAGGTGTCCATTTTTAACTTTAAATCCAGTTTTGCAATCTCTCATTGAAAGATCCAATTGCTTACAAGATTAACATGGTCCTATTTTCTAAATATTACGTTTGGACTTTGAAAAACTAATTTCAGATTTTACACTTTTATCAAGTTTATTTTTATTTTGCAGCTGCAAAAATTTAGAATTCGAATGAAATAAATTCTTATTACACTGAACATTTTCATTTATACTCGGAGCAGATGCTTTACATGAAGTGTTGCAAACATTATGACAAGTTATTGAAATCATGTTTTAACTGGATTAAGCAAAGTTCTCTTCAGCAAATATCTCTTTTTTAATCTAGTCGTCCGAATCAGGCCATCTGTGGATAATCTGAGCTCTTCTGGTAGAGATCTAAGGGCTTGGAATCCATTTAATCTGTCGAAAATGCAACCGTATCCGAACAGAACTTTCCTAACGCATGCGCGATAGGAGTTGTTCGTATCACTCACAAAAAAGCAGCATGTCACTCGTCAACTAGTAGCACATTTTTGTAATTTACTTATGTTATTAAACATACAAATGTTTTTCAGATCGTTTATTATTTGTTAAGAAATCTTTTACAGGCACCGGTGTCAAAGAACCCAAGAAAGGGGTAAGTTTACTCTTTATATATCATTTGTAAACTATTGTTTACATTTCGAAGGCAAAATTGATGGCGCTCGAACAGGGATGCCGGGTCATTAAAACTGAATAAGATTTGAAATAATTGAAACTATTAATAAACGAAATTTAAGTGTTCTTAATAATGGAATCACTAGATAAAACTGAATTATCTAAAGTTAGAATGCCACTAAGAAGCGGTTTCACAGAAGTTGCTAGGAGCGTAGAGGTAGCGTTGAATACGAAACCTACTAATTACGATGAATTAGATATTTTGATGTCACTCTTAAGTGATAAATTCCGAAAATTAGAAGTGGCCGATAACCAAATGATAAACATTCTCTCAAAAGATACACAAATATCTCAAAATGACTTTGATTCTGAATATGAAAAAATAGCTTCTTATGCAGACAAATACGTTATGCTCAAGACGAAAGTGGAGCGTTTAAGTAAGGAATCGCTTAGTCAGCAACCGCTTAGAAATAATAATGATTCCTTTTCTGAATCGGTAAATAAAAAGACTGTTAGATTACCGAAGATAGAATTGCCCAAGTATGATGGTTCAATTAAAGGGTGAATTGGGCTATGGAGTTTATTTAAAAAAATTAATGATGACCCAGATTTATCGGCAGCAGACAAATTTGTTTATTCAATTCAGAGCACTGCGGAAAAATCCCGTACTCGTGACTTTGTGGAGAGTTTCCCCCCTACCGCCTTGAATTATCCTCTTCTAATTGTGTCGCGAATTCTCGCAATAGCTCTCTTGCGCATGCTGTTTTGGTGCGCCTTATTATTAGTTAGTTGATGTTAAGATGTCGATGATGTCGAACGAGCTTTTTTAGCTCCGTAAATGATTGAAGCTTAATGGACAATTACAGCATATCATAATTTTTTTTATTTTCATACCTAACTTATTGGAAATTCTCCCCTGAAACCGAAAATCTGATTGTTTTTTTCGGCAAATGTTAATTTATTTAGTTATTAAACATTTAAATTGCCCCAAAAGGCCTCCGTAAGTGATGCAATCAAAAACGACCCCTGATTGGTTATGACGTCAAATGTGCCGAAGGGAAACGTGCCGTCTCCATCCGCTAAGGCTATTTCAATGCTCTTTTAGTTTTGATATCACGTATATCGTATGAACATCCTTTGTAAATTATCAGTAAAAATTTTGTGAATTAAATTTACGGTTCTGAGAGTGTGTGCAAAATGAAAGAAAGATTTTAAAACTTCAAACGTTGTTATTTATCATTAAAATATCTGAAGAAATGATTATGTAGCTCTTTACAGCGAATCAACATTTCTTTTCGGCTGAAATCAGTAGTGTTAAAGTTCATAGAAAATACTATTTCATTCCACTTACTTTTAAATTAAATTAATGCTTCATTACAACCTAATTACTTAATTAAAATAAGTCGCAGATTGGATAGAAATTTTATACATTTTGATATAGGATGGATGATTTTATAATTCGTTATTGCATTAAAACAAATCAGTATTTTCATAAATCTAGTCCATTGAAAAATATCAGTCCATCATCGTTACAATCTATGTGCTAATGATCAAAAATTCAAATAATGTAATTTAATGTTGCTTCTTTAATTTATTTATTTATTACTAGAGTTGAAGGATTTTCTTTTTAGGTAAATACTTACTAATGCAGTTTATGTCATCTTTTTTTGTTTGTTTCACTATGTATTAAATATTTAAATACACATTAACGCTTATATTTATTATTCCTAGCTTAAATAGGAATTCCGTTACAGTTCGAAATTATTTTTATTTTTAAATTTATAAATTTTAATTCCTTTTTCTGCAATATAGTATTAATAAAGTATGGTTATTGTTAATTTCTCTCCTTATTTTTGCAAGCTATTTGTCAGTGCTTGCAATGAAGAATTCTAAAATAGTAAAATTAATACATTATACATTTTTAATTAAAAAAAATTTAATAAAATAGTTTTAAAAAAATCTCAGGTTATGCATACGGTATAGCCGAAAACGTATCAACACTTTCAAGAATCTAGTCCATTGAAATATATCTGACCATCATCATCACCATAATCTAGTTATACTTAAAATTTCACTTAATTTCTCATTTATCCATATCTAATTAACTTATTTATCCACAAAATTTCAGCGAATATCATTAAGCTGGAAGTTTTTGTTTCACTAAAGCTAGAGAACAAAAATAAAAAATTAACTTATACAAAATGGAAAGAAATTCTAATGCACATTCTTTATTATTTATTAAATAATTAAAAAATAAACAGTAATGTTGATATTTTTTCTCAATATTTTTATTCTTTGAGTAAATAGGAACTTTGCTATGGCGAAAAATTATTTTTATATGCATTTATAAAATTTTATTCCTATTTCTGCAATAAAGAACTAAATAAATGCATATGCTTGATTTCAAATACTCTTATAACATAGATTAAGGCAATTAAAGTAAAGTTAATAAAATCTGCAGAAATATATATATATATATACAATATATATGAATTTAAAGTTTTGCTGGGATCACAAGTTTTTTAAGAGGCTACTGCTATGAATACAATTACATGCTTTGAATTCACGCTAGAATAAATAGATAAAAATTATCAATAACTTAAGCTGTCCTACATTTTAAAATCTAAAACTATTTATTCTACATAAGAAATTGATCCAACATTTCTTTCACTTAAGATGAAAATAAATCTTCCAAATGAACTTGAAGTATACATTAAAATTAAGATTATAGTTTAAAAATGAAAAAACGAAGTTATTTTGTATTTATAACGCATCATTTATAAGCAATACCATGCACTTTTTTTATTGAACTAAAAAATCTTAAATATTCCGAGCTACAAAATTTCGTCAAGTATTAACAATGTTTCAGTGGGTACCACTGAAATTTAACATTATAAAAATACGTTATATCAAATCCACATTTTTATTAAGCGATATTAAGGCGCAATTTTTTATACAGATAGCTTTAGACCATCTAAAATGGTTGGATTTAATTAGAAAATTTAAACGAAAGCAAGAACGTATTGGTTTTCACAGCACGGCTATTGTAAGTGAACGGCATATGGACACGTGTGACGTCAGTTCGTGAATAATCACGTGACTCCCCGTTTCAGGCGAAAACGAAAGTAAGCGTTTTTTGATTGAAAATAACTAAATAAATAGCCTTCTTAGAAAAGTAAAAAAATGTTTTCTGGGGGTTTTGAGGGATTCTGAATGCATTAAAATGAAAAAAAAATTTGACTGTAATTGTCCATTGTTTATTCTTTCTGTTTGTGTTATCTAATTCCGTTATTATTAAAGTGATTGTCTATAAAACATGTTATAGTCCTTTATGACCTTACAAATTGACATTTATTACCTCCAATAACAGTGGCAGTCCTGGAGAACGGGGTAAGTAGAACTTACCTTGATTTATAGAAATAGTTTTCTTCAGTTTTTTGCTTAAAAATTGACAAATTGAATGCATAAAAGCGCGTTTTGGGAAAGATGAACTTTTTATTGAAGTAGACGTAAGAGAACTGCTGAGTTTAGTTTTGGATCATAATAAATGCAATTTGGTTAAACTTTATGATAAAATCGAAGTGTACTTAAGAGCCTTAGGTACGTTAGGAGTTACTTCGGACAAATATGCAGCAATGCAGTACCCACTGGTAGAAAGCTGTTTGTCAGATGATATTTTGAAAATATGGGAGTGCCATATTAGTTCTCTTTCAGTAAAAAATAAGGAAGAGGGGAAAGTAAATAAATTAACTCTTCTCTTGGAATTTTTGAAATCAGAAGTAGAAGGAGAACAAAGATTAGCTATTCCTAAAATACATTTGATTATGAAAAAGAAACACATAAGAAATATTATAAGCGTAATTTTAATGAAAACAAATATGATATTTCTACTGCTTCAGGACTGTTAAATACAAATGATAATTTTGAAAGAAAGTGTATTTTTTTGCTAAAAAACATTATTCTTCAGATTGGAATAAAGTAAAAAATATGAGTTTAGATGAAAGACGAGAGCTAGATAGGAAATCTGGTTGCTGTTTCAAATGTTTAAAATAGGGTCATGTTTCTAAAAAGTGTTATTGTAAAATGAAGTGTTTTTGTTGCTGTAAATTTCACTGTACAATAATGTGTCCAAATTTGTCCAATGAATCCAAAGTAGCAGATACCCCTAAACCAGATAAATATTCGAAAGATCAAATACTAGCAATTCAGTCGAATAAAAATAGTGTATTGTTACAAACTTTACAGGTATATCTTAGAGCTAAAAATACTAGGCATCTTATACGGGGCCTGATTGATACAGGTAGCTAGCATTCCTATATTAGTGCAAAGACTGTAAAATTGATGAACTATGAGAGTTTAGGAGAACTTCCGATAATACATAGCTTATTTGGTGGCCTTGAATCTCCGCAGCAAATGCATCGCTGTTTTAGAGTATATTTAACTAGTTTGGATGAAACTTACAATTGTAATTTCGAAGTATTAGAACAAGAAAAGATATGCGGTGACATAAGGAAAACTCCTCATGGACCATGGATGAAAGAATTTCGGAAAGGAGGAATAAATTTAACTGCTTTGGATTATCGTTCCTCTTGCGCAGTCGATTCTGAGATTCAGCTACTGATAGGAGCAGACGTTGCTGGGAAGCTGTTAAACGGTAAAACTCAGAATTTAGGGCCTATTGCAGTTGGCACTCACCTGGGCTGGACAATCACGGGGAAAATTCCACACCCTTTTCCTGTTTCGGAATCCTGTTTGTTAATCATATCCTTACTCACTAGTGACATCAGCCTACCAGACATGCGGAGTTTAGAAAGAATAGGAATTGCAGATCCAGTCGAAAGTCAAACGAAAATTGAGCTATACCAGGCTGCTTATGAACATTTTCAAAGCAATCTAAAATTTAACAATGAAGGTAGGTATGAAGTGAAGTTACCTTGGCTTCAGCTACACCCTGCACTTTCTGAAGGGAGAGAATTAGCAGAAAGAAGATTGCGAACAACAATCAACAGATTGAAAGCAGCTCACATCCTAGAAGCTTATCTAGACGTCTTGCTGGCTGGATTGAAGGAAGGAATTATTGAGGAAGTGAATATGGATAATGAGGTTCTGCCTGGACATTTCCTTCCCCACAGAGCTGTAATTAAAAATTCATCAACGACAAAAATAAGACCCGTTTTCGATGCTTCAGCACGAACGAAGAATTCAACCACTTTGAATGATTGCCTTTGCAAAGGGCCTGATTTTCTAGAACTTATTCCCACTGTTTTAACTCGTTTCCGCATGAAAAAATTTGCGGCAACCGGGTATATTAAACAGGCCTTTATACAGATCAGTGTGTCTAAAGAAGATAGGAACTATTTAAGATTTCTCTGGATTATAGACGGTGATTTGAATAAACTGAAAATTTACAGACACTGCAGGGTTGTTTTTGGACTCACCTGTAGTCCATTTTTGTTAAGCGCTATTCTTAAACACCACTTAGCGAAGGCTCCACCTCAATTGAAGGACACTGCTTTGTTATTACAGGACACCTTTTATGTTGATAATTGTCTCTCCAGAGGGCCGGGATAGCCTGGTCGGTAGGGCGCTGGGCCCATATCCAAGAGGTCGTGGGTTCGATCCTCGCCGGCCGAAGACTCCCCGTGTAGTAAATGGTGACTGATGCACGTTAAATCTGTCGAGTCTCAAAGTCCTCCATGTTCCCACAACAAATCAATACCTCTGGGGGTACTGATCCAGGAGTTTCCTTGTCTTCTGGATTGGTTCAAAATTACAAGGCTACGGAGTTGAACGTAAGTAGTCGTAAACCCATGAAATTGGGTCGGCTGTTCAACGACGGTTATAAAATAAAATAAAAAAATTGTCTCTCCAGTTTCGACATAATTGAAGACTGTGAAATTTTTGTGGAACAATCGAAGGAATTATTATTGTCTGGAAAATTTGAGAGGATGGCGAAAAAATTATTCTATCCAAGAGAATGACCTTATTCCAACTATAATCACTGAAAAGACAGAGAAGCTGGAAGAAGGAAATTTAATTTGTCGGAAATGCAATCGTAACCGAACAGAACTTTCCTAACGCATGCGCGATAGGAGTTGTTGTTATCACTCATTGAAAACAGTCATCAACTAGTGGCATATTTTTTGTAATTTACTTATGTTATTAAATATATAAATGTTTTTCAGATAGTTTATTATTTGTCAAGAAAGCTTTTACAGGCCCTAGCGTCAAAGAACCCAAGAAATGGGGTAAGTTTACCCTTTATATATCATTTATAAACTATTGTTTACATTTCAAAAGCAAAAGGAATCCATTTAATCTTTTAATGAATGTGCGGTAACTTTTATTTCTGCCAGATACTGTATCGTGTCCTGGATCAAACTTTGTATTAAAGAACTCGCCAAGTATCACAGTAGGGCAGAGTACAAACACATCGTTCACTTTTGGCAGCGGATAACTTCCCGGATTCCACACTGTCGCAGTAAAAGCCTTTCCATGCTGATAATCAATCGTCTTGTTTACCAGGATAAATGACCAATCAGCAAAAACCTTATAACTAAATGTGTGACTAAATAGCAAGCATTTGAGACACAGTGCAAGATGGCCTGGCAGCAAGTGAATAAGTTTTATTTGAACAAGATTATGGAAAAGGTTGTTTACTTTGTGATAGTCAAGTAAAATGTGTACTGTTGTACAGAACTTCCGATGAAATTACATCATGATAGAAATGAATAAACAAGTACAGAGCAAGCCTGACTTTAAAAAACAACAAGAGCAATGATGTTAAGATATTTCAGACTTATGTGCGAAATGCGGTTGCTTCCGGAAACGATTTTCAATGCACTGGACATTTTGGAATCATTGGAACGAAGAAATAATAAGTTTAGTTGTATACATCCCTCCCCTTAATTGAAAAGTAATAAGTTATTCAAGATGCATGCCACTCCTTCAGGAAAAAATAAAATTCATAACCTTGAACTTTATTTTTACATAGTGGTGAGCATAACACGAGTGAAGATACGACTAATTAGTCAAATTATTGCCAACAATATCACCCATTTGAAAATTCTACAATTTCCAAGTTTCTGACAGAAACAAACTCATGGATATAAAAATGAAATTAAATTAATAATGAAATAATATAAACTTTTTTAAACTACTTTTTCCTAGTGTATTAGAAAGGAGAAAATCATTCCTTAAAACGGAAAATATGGTGTACCTAGTTAACTTATAATTTTTTATCGCCCGAAATTCTCCAGGTTTTTGTTTCAAATCCAGCAAAAATGGAGAAATATAATCTTTTTGCTAAAGCACTTGGAAAAAGTGAATTTTAATAACATTTTACGCCATTTTGCAGGGACTTTGGTGCAGTTTATTTTGTATACCGAACTTTTATGTGAGATTTCAAGACTTTTTAAGTGTTTTGCAAAATCAGTGATGAACAAACTTTTTAAGACTTTGTCCCTTCCTTTTCAGTGCCTTATAGTTAAAATATTTATCCTGCAAAAATATCTAATTTTTTTTTAATAAAATATTTTAGTGTGTGGTTTTGTATATTTGTGGTAGTGTGATGTGGTAGTGTATTTTATACAAACGTTTTTCCTTTAAGACCACAGTTTTTTTTGATATTTACAAAAATTCACAAAAATTGTTTTTTAAACAAGGATTTCACAGCCGGGAAAAAAACTTGGAAATCCGTGGAAGGAAAAAAAATCGTTCACGTAGATTCAAGCTGCACTTAAAATTAAGGCTGACTTCGTTTCTATAGCTCGAAAATTATTCATTTCAGATATACATTTATATGCATACTTTTATTCTCCTATCTTTTATTTTTTATCCGTTTATAAATTTGAAAGCAAAACTATATTTATTACATTCAGTTAGTGGGAAATATTAAAATTTAATTTTAAGAACATATGACAATATGGAGAGATTCTCACCTTAAAAACTTAAAATGGAATTGTCCCTTTAGCAGACTGAAGAATGTCTCAAGAAATGGCCTTGAGAATCGGAAGAGGAGAAGGAAGGATGTGTTTAATCCCTCATCTGAATTATTCAAGCAACCATCGATTTTCAGAGAGAAGAATTAAAGTGAACCACACCCTACACCGTTGGTCTCATTTAATTAACTGTAACCACTAAAAATCTCACCACTCCTCTTTCTCTTCGTTCTTTAACTTTGGAAATATTTTCAATTCCATAATATGTTCCACTTCGAAATGGTAAATTTATAAACGAAATTCGATAACATCCATAGTGCGATCAGTTTTTGGAATCTAAAAATTTATTTTCATTTTTAAATATTGTTTTTACCACTTAAGTATTGGATAATCTTTTTCCATGAACAGAGTTTTAATGCTGTCATGACTCAAGAGGAGAAAAATTGGATGATGAAATATTTCAAAAATAAGTATAGAGCTTCATCTGCAACTTGCTTTGTGAATTTTCTTTCTCCCCTATCTTTGAACAAGGAAAATAATTCATTAAAAAAATCATCATTAGACAAAATGCCAACACACGAGAAACATTCAATGAAATTTCTGTCTCCTTTACATTAGAAATTTCTACAAAATGATATGCGTGTCTCTTTGAAGTAACATTTGCTTTTTTTCCCTTTGCTTTTTTCAACTTAATTTTTCTTTTCATCCTTTTACTTTGAAGTGCTTAAAAATTGTATTGTAGACATTTATTTCATCACATACATTTCAATATTTAGTATTGCAAATCAACCAGATATCGCCACATATTTGTGTCTTTTTAAAAACAATTTTGAACACTTTTTATTTAAGCAGAGAAATAAGGGAAAGTCAAGTTGCAGTTACAAGCAATGGCTTATTTTAAAATCTCAATATGTTTTGCAGTTTTTTTTACATAACTACTCAAAATAAGAATCACTTTATAAGAATTTCTCAGTGACTTTTGAATAATGACTGACTGACATGCTCTGTCTTGTCTAATCAACTAAATTATATATAAAAAAATAAGAATATGTCACATTTCGACGGAGACATAAAATTTAAAAGTTAGCGAATTATTAAATCAGTCGTCACATCGAGTCATCTCGAGGGAGGGTTTCTGTCAGAAAGAAGAGAAAATATAATAATAAATTAACTTGCGTATAAAAACTGTTGTCCACTTCAAGTATGTTAAGGGGGATTTTAGGAAATAATTAGGATTTCGAAGTCATTTTATTCACTGTTGACAAAAATCAATGTTAGAATTCAAGTCGGATTATTCTTTTTCTTTCATTTCCTACGAAATACAATAAACGAAATTCTTGTCTTTAAAAACTTGAAATTACATAAATATTTTTGTGGGAAAAAATGTCGTCATTATTTAAACCCTTAAGCATTAATGTATTACTGACAACAAAAAAAGAAGAAAGTGTGTTGACACGGGATTAATTGGGAATACACCAAAAGAGAAAGAAATGTTGAAAATACATATCGAATCTCTGGTAGGGTTGAAATCTAAACAATGAATGCCGATACTCGAATTTCATTATTAAAAGAAGTGGGACATCTATAAAATATTTTATTTTTCTTAATTATTTCTTTTCTTTCTGGAAACATACTCCATTTGTGTGTCCGCCCTAGCAGGAAAAAAAGAAGAGATTCTTGTTGTGATTCATGCACATCTGCTTCTTTCTATCTCTGAGAGAGATAGCCACACCCATGTCTCTTTTATTCATTAGTCTGCCCCGCTTTGTTTTCCATAGCTGAGATTAATATCCGCAACTCTGTCTCTAGATCAGTGATCAAAATAATTTTTAAAAGATTTCATAAAATTATCAAAGTCCGCATAATTAATGATGTTTATTAATTATTACAGATTAATACAAAATTAGAAAGATTACCGCTGAGTCTGGCTCACGAATAAAACATCACTCCCACCCCCATTCAACGCTTTCCTTCTCCGGTTAAAGAAAGACTCTTAAATGCCTCAAACACACTATCTTAAAGTATAAGAGGGTTTAATTGGTTTAATTGATTTCCTATCTTTCTCTCGCTCTCATATATATATATATATATAGACCAATCAGCAAAAACCTTATAACTAAATGTGTGACTAAATAGCAAGCATTTGAGACACAGTGCAAGATGGCCTGGCAGCAAGTGAATAAGTTTTATTTGAACAAGATTATGGAAAAGGTTGTTTACTTTGTGATAGTCAAGTAAAATGTGTACTGTTGTACAGAACTTCCGATGAAATTACATCATGATAGAAATGAATAAACAAGTACAGAGCAAGCCTGACTTTAAAAAACAACAAGAGCAATGATGTTAAGATATTTCAGACTTATGTGCGAAATGCGGTTGCTTCCGGAAACGATTTTCAATGCACTGGACATTTTGGAATCATTGGAACGAAGAAATAATAAGTTTAGTTGTATACATCCCTCCCCTTAATTGAAAAGTAATAAGTTATTCAAGATGCATGCCACTCCTTCAGGAAAAAATAAAATTCATAACCTTGAACTTTATTTTTACATAGTGGTGAGCATAACACGAGTGAAGATACGACTAATTAGTCAAATTATTGCCAACAATATCACCCATTTGAAAATTCTA